TTTTCTCTACCTTAATATAATCGTTATCCCTTTCACTTGCTCAAATAGGACCAATAACAACGGAGATATGATGTAATAGACTTTCGGCAATGCTGAAATTTACGTAGCGGTACGGTAGCAAAAATCTGTCGCGTATTCACTGCTTTCTCCTCATCCAAAAAGTGCATAACGTCGCTAAATAAGTTTTCATTTTAAAAAAGAAGATTTTGTGTGAGGTCTGTAAATTGTGAAAGCTATAGTTTTAAAAGGATGGAGAAATTTGAATACCAGGATGTAGTATTCGATGAAAATGGAAAAGAGAAATGGGAGCTCGATGCCAGAATAGCGAAAGGGGAAAAACTAGACTCCAAATAATAAAAGAGTAATTAGACACACAGTGACATATGCCTATGAGGCACGGACATTGAATAAGAAGAAAGAGGATAGTCTAGAAAGATGTGAAAGAAAAATATTGAAACGCGTATTCGGCGGAAGGAAGACAGAAGACGGGTGAAAGAGAAGAACCAATAAGAAATGAATGGCTTTGTACAAAGAACCTACCATCACCAGGTTCCATAAGTCGCAAAGGATCAGATACTTTAGACATATAGAAAGAATGGAAGCAAACATAATGCCTAAACTAGCTATGATCAGGAAACTAATCGGTCCCAGAAGAAGGCTTAGGGCCAGAACCAGGTGGATTAATAAAATGGAAGAAGACCTTAAGCACGTGAAGGTTAGGGATCAGAAAAGTAAAGTGTAGCATCGGGGAAACAAAACCCTTAAATTAATTAGTAATTCATAACATAGTTTGAATTTAGATGTTTACTCCATTCATTTATACGTATGTTACATTTTCTTCTAATGTCTTCACTTCTCTTTCGATCTCTCAGCGTAATTCCTGTAATTGTTCTCAGTACTCTCATCTCTGCCGTTTCCCGTAGCCTTTGAGCTGTGGCTGTGTTGGATCTTGTTTCTGAGGCATATGTCATTATTGACCTTACACTCACTGGCTTTATAAATTCTTGACTTCATCTCAGTGTTAATGTTTCGCCATATACCGGGTGGTGAATCGTCAAACGGACCATAGGAAACTCAATGGTAAATTCTAAATTGTTGAATTCCTGCTTCCCTAATTATTTTACACCAAAAGTCATGGGAAACTATTTGTAGAGGACTCAAATATGTATCGAAAACAACTGTTAAAATTATTCTACGACTTAAACGTATTCCAAAATTTTGCTAAAATATAATACATTTTTCAGGCCACCCCTAAAAGTTAGGCCACACGTAATGCAAGAATATATATTATTACGTTTGTGTTTTATCATATTTATGTCAGATGTTTGACAATTTGAATTGTCAATTTTTTTATTTTATGATTAAATTATAAACAATGAGTTTTACTAAATACTACTACTAATGAACATTATTACTTTGTGAACAATAAATTATATTGTTTACAAATCGATCAATATAAATGTACTCAGTTGACGAAAAATCGCATAATGTTGTACTCAGGCAATAGCGCGAACCTTTTCCTGCCACTACCGGATCTTTATTTAACGTAAGATATTCTAATTCACTAAAATTTAATTCCATGTTAAGTTATACAACAATTCAATGAATTCCAATATACTGTTACTGTGATCTTTATTTCTAATAATAATATATGATAATTTATAAACATAAAACTATAACAAGTGTTATAATAAAACATGAATAAAAAAATTTTATTATTGCTTTTTTCTCCTCAACTGAGTACATTTTTTAATCAACTTAATTTTTTTTTTAACAATAAATCACAAAATTTGGCCATTTAAATCATAGATAAATGTAATATAATTGATTTAAATATTGTCAAATATCAGAAACAATAATATGACAAAACGCAACACGTAATACACATTTTTTCACAGAAAAATGTATTATATTTTAGCAAAATTTTGGAATACCTTTAAGTCGTAGAATAATTTTAACAGTTGTTTTCGATACATATTTGAGTCCTCTACAAATAGTTTCCCATGACTTTGGGTGTAAAATAATTAGGGAAGCAGGAATTCAACAATTTAGAATTTCCCATTGAGTTTCCTATGGACCGTTTGACGATTCACCACCCTGTAGACATCCTGCCAGTATTTGCTTTTTGTACTTGATCTTTCACTTCTTTGCCCAGGTCTCCATAGCTAGACAGTGTAATTCCCAGGTATTTTATTTCTATTAATTTTTAAATACTGATGCCATCAATTTCTCTTTTACATCTATCTATCTATCTATATATCTGTGCTTTCTTGGCGAATGAAGCTAAATTAAAATCACGTTGAGTTCTAGTTTGAGAGACGAACATCGCAAAAGCAGAAAATAGAAAAAAATTTTGTTTAAAATCCTTTATAAAAGGTATATAAAAATGCCTCAAACGGGCTATCACAAACACATTGCAAAACGTTTTCGGATTAAACAATCCATCATAAGTGCAAACCTGAAAGTATATAACCACTTTAATTAAAAAGAACGTTAAATGAAAATGTTGACAAAGGTTAGAGCAAAATGTGGTTAATACTTACGGTTGTACATGCTAGTAGCCACCAAAATATATGGGTAAAAACCCTTTAAATGTTTTAAATTTTAAGTTGTTTTACATTATTAGTATTTATAATTTGTGATGGTTAAGTTACCGTTGGATAGGTAACATGGCGGCGTATGACTCTACATGAGTAAAATGGTACTGAGACGAAGTGTCTACGAGGACCTGTTGATAACAACTGATCAAAATGACATTGTTGACAAGTTAGGACGGATGTTGTGTCAGAGCAGTCAGTGTAACTTACGGTAGTTGTCTAAAATTGACAGATGTCAGCCTTATTTAAAATTGAAAAAGTTAAAATTATAATAATGTAACAGTATCAACCATCAATATTGTAATCTGTATTGTAAATTAATCAGATAGGTATATTTGAAACATTGAAAATTGGTTTTTTAAAAATTAATGTAGGTCAACTAGAATTTATGAAATTTTGTAGGATTGATAGGCAACCAACTATACATGTGTAAGGATCTATTTATTTTAAGCTAAAGATTTTGTCAAAAGACCCTGTATGTTGTGAGACATTTGGTACCTAGAAAATGGTAAAAAGGCACATGTGGGAAGATGGGTCCTAAAAGATTTATTATTGAGTATTGATGTAGTAGGTGGAGGTGTGTTTAGATATGTTGTTGAGCTGAAATGTAAATATGATAAGAATGTGATCATAATGTGGTATTCATGTAGTACTCAACTTAAAACTTAAGTATGGAAGGCCCTCTATGTCAAAAAACTACATTTGGTACCTAGTAAAGATAAATAAAATTTTTAAGTTATAAGTAAATGAACATGAATTACTGGTTATGTGTGTAAAGTAAAGATGGTAGGTTGTTTATGTGTGTGGGCAAGTATGCCAGACTGAAAGAAAATTGATGGCTGAAAGATGGTTAGGTGTGATATTGTTCCTACATTGCTCAAGTTATAACTCAAGAAAACAAAAGGCTATATACTTTCAGGTTTGCACTGATGATGGATTGTTTAATCCGAAAACGTTTTGCAATGTGTTTGTGATAGCCCGTTTGAGGCATTTTTATATACCTTTTATAAAGGATTTTAAACAAAATTTTTTTGTGATATATGGTATACAGCCAGCTACAGGAACTTAGTTTCCTCGTGGAATTTCAGAAAATAGAAGTGAATGGAGAAATATTGTTCATCGGGTCTTTCCGAGCAGTTATTAGCTTTGTATATACTTAAGTTTGAGTTTTGATTAAAATAATTGTAATTAGTTAATCTTATAATTCTAGATCTTAACCTGTTGCGCGTATCAATAAATAAACCTAGTTAGTACGCCAATAATTGTGTAATTTTTAGTAAGTCAAACGGAAAAAGAATCGGCTATGCTTAAACGTGAGAAAAGCAATTTCTAATGCGCATGCTCTTAAGAAAAATTGCAAAGTTCCAAGCTTGTATAATTGTGTCTCGACTTGAAATTTTATTTCAAAAAACAGATATGAACATTGCAAGACGTGCCAAAGTGAAAACTAAAAGTTCTAAGAGAACACTTATTCGTTTTAGGCACTTACTTGGAAGCTGGTAGAACGAATAAAAATAAATGGTATTACTTTCTCAACTTAACTAAACAAAACAGGTAAATTAGGAACTTTTTTGAAATAATAATTGTTACGAATTAGGCTGAAAATAATATTTGGACACTTTATATTAATATTTAACAGTGTATGGTATATTTATCCTTTTAAAATCCTTATTATCTGTTTCCGTAATGTGGGCAGTCAATATCTGACTTCTAGATGCAAAATAAGTCTATGGTATCTATATATTCACACATGTTCTTTGTCATAAAAACTCTTCTTTTATGAAGTCATTAGATAACCACTAGAATTTTATGAGTTAAACTAACATTTATCCTTTACCACAAAATCAAGTTCCAAGACTGTAACAATTAGAGGGTATTACTCAATGCATGATTATGAAGATGATTAATATTGGTGTGCCTCAAAACAGAAACTTGAGAGTAAACTTAAAATGTGATTAAAGCGTTGATGATGATAATGTGTAATAGCTATTTATAATGATTAATATTTTCAATATATTGTCCATAATTTTCCAATCCAGTTCCTATACAACTCAGGAATGATAAGAAATCCACTTAGTTGTTACCAGTCATGTATAATATCTATATATTTGTGTTTGAAAGATTATTTTGTCATTTTCTTCTCTAATTAACTCACACTCTTTCCTTTTAATATACCAGCCCTGTAATTACTTCCCTTTGAATTATTTTTTGGCTCATTCACAGATTTACAAATATCCTATTATTGGCTTTTGGTTTCTCAATATCTTCTGTTCTTCATGTTATTTATTTTGTCTGAATATGTGCCCAACTATCATAAATACGAATATAACATTACTTAAAAATTCCTCCTTATTTTCGGCCAAATTCATATACTACAAAACAGTATTAACACAAAAAACTTACACTGTTCATGGATGTCCAAAAGGGAATTACTAAGAGCAGAACGTTTAATTTGAGGATCATTGTGAATCTCTTCCTCATTAGCGCTCATAGAAGGCATCTGAGAGCACGGACATTGATAAGGACATCCTTCTACATCTGCTACTCCGCTATCACGATTCTCTGTCCCTAGAATACGAACGCAATTATTTTATTATTTAATAAATCAATAAGCTCAATATACAGAGGTAACGAAAAAAAAACGAAAGGAATTAAAATAATATTACATGATCAAACGTGTATATAATTTTCTCATTTCTTTCTCAATTTTAAGGAAAATTGTGTAGTCAAAAACATGTTTATGCACCATTTTTACTTTTCTAACGTCCCAAGTCAATTGAAAATGATTACAAGGAGGTTCAAATATATTATTTAACAGATCTGATTTACTACGAAGCGCTGACGCAACGTAACCAAGCTATGCAAGATATCCTCGTACTATCTCTGTCATATAGTCAAAATTGTCGATTTATAGAGGTATTAAAAGGGGAGACGTTACTGATCACTGCTTAAATAACAAACGTAAAGAATTTTTGGCACATTCTTTTTTACTTTAAAGTCTTCAATGATTAACTTCTTCACTGTTCTGTAATAGCAGATATGTTAATTTAGTGTATATAATAGATTAGGCCTACAGGGCATACCACCTAAAAACGCGCCGGAAGCTCAGGGGTAGTGTGGAACCGGGTTTATTATTTTTGTTTTATTTTATTTACGAAAAATCATTTAATGTTACAAGTATTCTAGGAAAACTAAATTTCGTATGCCTATGAGTTTCTCAGATATCACCGATAAGCTCGAGACTTCCGTTTTCAATTGACTTTGGATGGACTTTACTTAAGTAACTTATAATATATATATATATATATATATATATATATATATATATATATATATATATATATATATATATATATATATATATCTTATTGGTGGGCCATAAACATGAATATGTTTCATTTTTAATTAAATTTCTAATTGCAGATGGGATTTCAATATTTCTGCTTATTATTCTGTCATTAAAAAGCTCAAAGATATTGAACAGTTTATCTGAATGTGTCTTGTTAAGTTCTCATTATCATTAAACTGTTGATCGACCCCTGTAACACGACATACAAACATCGAAGTCAGCCTAGCTTCTCTCTTCTCCGCACTGGTCCAGCCAAACCAGAAACCAGTTAACATTTAACATTCTAGACTGAACATTCAGAAGAGAAAGACAATTTAAAGAATGTGTAATGTAAATGTAGTTTAGTTTATGTAACATCACAATTGAAGTATTGGAAAAACATTCATAAGTGTAATTCCATACAATTAGTAATACCTATTTTGCAATTTACTTTTATTTTATTTTTTTATAAATTTACTCGTTAACTTTTACATCTATAGAAAATTAATATTCGTTAATAATTGCTTCGTTGTTCATTTTTTACTTAATTTTTCCAAAAAAATTGTCAAAAATATATATCCAATCAAACTTTACAATTACAATGAAAATGCCAAACAATGAACGTCACGTCATTCAGTATGGTGACTACACTACCGATTTGTATAAATAAGGGCTGTCATGACTTTCTTAGGTTAAGATTTTTTTGATAACTGTTATATTAGTAAACAATAACATACCTGTCCTGTTTCCTCCTCTGTTCGATTTTTGCCTATCTAATTCGGCCTCTATCCTAAGATTCTCCATTTCATCCATTTCACTAACAGCTTCTTTTAGGTCTTCGGCAAATTTACATCTATCATGTTCGTTTCTGGCATTAAATGTAACTAGAACTTTTTGATCTACACGTTGACTTAGACGAATACCATATGGATAATCTACAAGGAAATAATAATTTATGTTGAATAGTGATTAAAAAAATGCGTTAAAATGTTTTTACAAACTTATAAACTATATCTTTAGTAGTAGTAGAAGTATAGTATAGTGGTATTGCCAAAGTCTAATTCTGTCAAATGTCAGTAAACATTGGATCTGCAATACCGACCGACGCACATAAAAGTCTCGTTCTGCGTCAAATGTCACAAAAACTTTTATGCATACGTGATCCCTTGGATTTCCAAGAAGTAAGCTATTACTGTGCAGACTTCCCAAAATGTTTTATACTTAGGTTTCACAACTAAGTTTAGGTCACCCGCTCCTACTTTTTCCGACCGGCCTATGTTACATGGTTATTTTAGCAGGATCAGTTTTATCCATTCGCATAATGCGACCCACCCATCTTAGGCGGTTTATTTTGACGGTTTTCACGATATCTGCATCACCAAATAGTCTATAGAGTTCGAAATTATTTGCATTCTTCACAGATGCTGTGGAGGATATGTTCCTCAATACTTTTCTTTCAAAGATTCGCAGTAATAAAAAAGATAGAAAATAACAAAAAAATAAATGTAGTAAATACTTACGTGGAACATCAAAAAGAGTAACTATCATTCCACAGAGAGGGTAACTATTCCTAAATGTATATGTAACAGACGATTTCTTCTTGCTCAGAATCTTTGTAATCACCAGGAGATCATTAAACAGGAATACTTCCCTTTGATGTACACCTGGTCTTTCTTTCTTATAAATATCGGGTATTTCATACAAACGACAATAGCACACCAACCTGCGATGTGGTAGAGCCATATTCGGTTTCTTGCCAACTACGAGATAATACAGAACCATTAAAATTTTATTAAAATATACAGACGAATATTTTTGTTTGCTTATAATGTATACTCACCTATAGTGCTTTGCACTTTCATGACTTGAGTTACATGATCTGATCCAGGTTTGAATTCGTTGGCTTTGACTCTGTCGTAGACCCCTACTAACGTATCACTGTCTATGTCACCACAATCATCAATTCCTCTTAGGTTCTTTATAAAGTCTTCAACTCGCATACGCCTCTCTGGTTTTATACTTGGAGTGTGTAGGTCAGTATTCAACATTATTATTGCAAAAGCAAGCACGAAAATCTAAAAATAATAATTTAAAAATATATAGACGTAAATAAGTAACTTTTATGGATAAGCTTTGCTTCAAAATAAGGCGAAAACAAAAACTTCTATGCAAGATATACACACAACGCAAAAGTCTAAGGATATTTTAATACAATTTGATACACTCACTTCTTATAAAAAAAATTGTAAAACTGATAGCAATACGTGCTTTACAATGTTTTTTATAAGGGACAAAAAAATTGACATTTTTATGTTTTGTTTATTTTTAATTTTAGTCACTTTATACCATTCTTGCTTAATAGGTGAGATAAAGATATTGTCTTTTTACCATGCAACGACAACATAACAGTTCCGTGGGCCTCCTTCAAGCTGGTACGCGACCAACTTAAGTTTCTGACCAGCTGGGTGTCTCCCAAAGCGTCGTAAGTCGTTTGTGGCGTCGGTTTAGAGACTCTGGGAGTCCAGCCGAGCAACATCCAGAAGGTGGTCGCTCAAGACCGATATTTAATTTTAAATGCCAGAAGGCATTCAACAATCACAGCAACCGAGCTGGCTAATGAATTACAGCTAGCACATAATGTAACAATTAGTAGCAGTACTGTGAGGAATCGCCTCCATGAATCCAATCTTCGTAGTCGACGACCACTGAGATGTCCACCTCTATCTAGAGGCAATCGCGCTGCACGATTAGCCTAGTGTCAAGAGTTTCAGAACTGCAGAAGATTACGTCATCTTTAAGGAGTGTATGCATACAGAGGTGGTACATTAATGGTAAGGGGCGGAATCATGATTGACGGAAGAACTGACCTTATTTTCCAACGTGGCTTTCTCACAAGTCAGCAATATTTGGACACTATTCTTGAACCTGTTCTGCGCTGTTGGAGAAAATGTTTACTTTATGCAAAATAACACTCGACCACATGTTGCGCATATTGTAACAAACTGGTTGGATAACGAGGGTATTGATGTATTGCCGTGGCCAGCAAAATCACCGGACTTGAATACCATTGAGCATGTATGGGACATGCTCCAATTAAGAATTACTCCACATATGGGGAATATCTACAATGAGTTTCAATTAAAAGAGCTTCTAAGAGAACAATGGACACAACTACCTCAAACAGACATTAACAGTATGATTCGGAGCATGAACAGTAGATGTAGAACTGTGATAAACCAACGTGGTGGCCATACTTTATTCAAGTTTATATTTCGTTTTTTTAGAGGAGAGAATGGAGAAAGGAGAGAATGGGTAATATTTATTGCGGCGAAGAAAGGGCTTTTATATAGAATTTCAAAGCGAGGGGAGATTTGTTACGATCTTTTTATGACTTTGCAGTTTTGTAAATTCTAAAACAATAACATGTTTTACGATCGGCTATTAAAGAACTTTTTAGTGAGAAGTCAAAAAATAGGAACATAAATCATGCAGGTGTGTAAAACGGATCGGTTCAAATGGTTTTTATACCGATAAAATGAAATTGAACTAGATTACTAACGTCTAAGATTAGCACCTCGGTTATTGTGTAAATAATATATATATAAAAAAAGGGTCTGATTTCTGAGATAATAAATATTTACATTTGGACATTTAATGAAAACTCGACCTTTTAGTGGTAAAAGTCGTATTAAGACAGAAATATGTTCTGTCAATAAAGGAAATAAATAGTTAAAGTTTGATTATATATGAAGTAAATAACTTACGGTATCTGGTGATCTCAGTCTTCCAACAATGTCCACGTTGCATTGACAATATCGTTGTGAGAATATCTCCATTAACCTTTCGATTTTCTGAGCTTCTCCAGGCATTCTGAAGTGTTGCTGAAATTTCCTCAATGCAACATCGACTTGCATTCCGGAAAGATCCAGTTCACTAGCGAAACATTCCAACACAGCCATACAGAAAGGACTTTGCAAATTTCCTAAATACTCTCCGATCATTTGCTTACTCAGGCCTTTCCGGGAAATAAGAAATCTAGCTACACCTACAAAAAATAATGTTCGATTTTTGGAATCTATTATACACTGTATTTATTATTTGAATGTAAAAAAATGAATAATACCAACCTTGGGGAGAATTTTCTAAAAATCCTCTTCTTATAAGGTACGCAATACCTTTCTCGGGTTTTTTATTAAATAAGTTAAGACCAACTCGGTACTGGCGCTTACGAATGGTCTCTGAAATCTTATAACTATTGGGGACTTGTTGATCAGCTGCTCGTTCTACTAAAGTATAAGTTGAAGAACTAACATTAGATAGATTTCCAAGACTAGTTTCCAATGCTGGTTCTGCGTATTCAGATGCGTTGTTGCCTTTTCTTTTCCAAACTGGAGAGCTGGCGTATTCACATTGCAATCTATAAAATAAGAATTTTTGGTCAGAGTGTACAATCTGGCTTTCAATTATAATACTGATATAATAAGTGGCAAAGATGTTCAAAATGTTTAAACACAGTAAGGGATGAATGAAAATATGTTGGAAATCTAGTCAAATGCAAGGTTGATCTAATAATATAATGGTGCTCTGCACATGTTTTATTTAATAATCGGAAATTCATGCGGCCAGACTCAAACATAAGCATGCACACAAATCGATACACTTAACAAAAGACTCACCTTTCAGTAGAAATACTGCTATCACTTCCTGAGCTCTGTACACTAGATAATGAGCCATTTTCTGTTGTTTTTATTAGTCCATTGCTTTTTTGACGATGTGGCTCCACGGATTTTGACGATATGCTAGAAGTTCTTTTCGGAACCTCTGGCGGAACCTTCCGGCTCGATAAGCTATTTCTAGAGCGCAAATATCCATTAGATGGTGTAGCTGGAGTGCCACAAGAACTACTACTAGGTGTCACTTGAGTGGAGAGGTCCGACTTATTTTCAGCAGGAGAATAATAGTGCTAAAAAGTAATCATTTATAAGTTCTTTAGTGATGATAGGTACATCAAACCCATTGAAGCTGCGCAAATAACTTATTTTCGACTTCAATTGCCAAACTTCCCCAACTGGAAAAACAATCAGAAATTTAACATTCATTCAGTGGCGTATCTACGAGCCGTTATTGACTTTTATCTAGTATTCAAGAAATAAGAAAAAATTTAAAATTAACATAAGCTCTGGCTGATTTTACTGAGAATAGATTTGGAGTATGTTTTAAACAACATTTGTATGAAATACTGATTAAAAAATCGAAATACCTTATATGGCCTTACCTGTAAAGATGAGGAAGAATAGTTTTCCCAGCAAACTGTAGGTGTTCCTGATTGACTACGGGGTATGTGCATATTATCTATGTGTCTTCTCTCTCTCAAAGACATTGATCGTACCGGCATCATCCGTAAAGAGTTACAGTCATGGGCATCGAAGCCGAAAGCATAATCGTTGCATGGTTGTTCGGTAGTGGGTGTTTGGTTGCAGTCTTCTGAAGTTGCGGGAAGTCTACGACTAATTCTTTTCTCTGCTTTTGCCATAGCTGTTATAGCTGCGAATTTTTTAAGTAAAGTGTACCTTCGGAACGCCCTTTGGATCGTAAGAGCTGCGCTACGGGCTTTATCTCCTCCATATTTACGTTCTAATACTTCGATTTGCTTATCCAGAATATCCTGTGACAATTCGTAACTAAAAGCAGAATAAAAGAAATAAAGAAAAATTAAAAGAGTGTGGACAGAAGTCTTATGGTGTGTTATTAATATATATATATATATATATATATATATATATATATATATATATATATATATATATATATATATATATATAGGTTATATAGGTTAATGAAATTTTGTCTGCCTATTACTGAATTGTTAATATTTTTTATAATATATTTAAATATAATACATTTATACACATTTAATTTCTTTAAAATTGTAATTTTTTATAATTTTATTTATTTTATTTTATACAAATATTTTAAACTAAAAATTAGCCAAACCGATCCAGTTGTCGAGTTGTTATAAAAAAATATATTATATAAAATTACAATAAGTGTATATGTATATTATGTATATTACGGTATACCGCAAGGTTACTACACCCGTTTCGATTTTTCGAGTCACGCCAAATAGAATTTCGGGCCCGTGCAACACATCATACCGAGCGAGAAGAGGTATTCACTTCAAAAAGAAATTGGAAACAACCGGTCGGAACATGAACTGCTACGAGAAAACTCTTCAAAATTGGATCAAAAATAGGTTCTAAATTTAAAACAATAAATAAACGCCAAGCAGTTAAGGAAAGCCAAAGAATAGTCAACAGACGTAATACATATCTAGAACAAATTACTAAACATAAGCAAGAAAGTACGCGAATTGACTATTAAGACGAAAAAATGGACAGATGATACAAACATGTGCATATCAAAAATGCCTGCAATCAAAACGTCATCGAAACAACGGTTGTATTGATCGTTCTAATACATCTGCATTAAGTTTACTACTAGGTAAAGGAAAAGGAATCATAATTGTCCACATTGGAAATGAATACAACATTGTGTTGTGTGTGTGGTTGAAAATATGACTGCGGATTACGGGAAACATTCGCCTACCAATTTTTGTTTTTTGAAATCGTGAATTTCTGTACTTGTTTTACCTTTTATAAATATAACATTGAGGAGGTAAATATCTTCAATATTATGAAAATAAACGATATAATATACTTTTAACCCTCGTAAAAAGTTGCTTATTTGTTTATTATACTACGAAACATAATTTTACCAACCAAATATTTATTTCTTCATTTAAAAAAATTAATTATCGTTGCAAAACAAACACATTAAATTTTTGACACAGTGAGCAGCACAAACAATGTTTATACACACAATACAGTAATGCCGGGACTTTCGGTCTTTTTTTTTTCTCTGGCATCAGTAACAACCTGGTATTGAAGCTATGTTAGGTCCAAGTGGAATTTGACGTAATTGAGAGTGCATATTTTTTGTGGTTTGATATCTGTATATAACATTTTCTTTCATCAATTTCCGTCCTAAATCTAATAAAAAACTTCGTCTTGCATCCAAATGTTTCCCAACGTTAACTTTAATTTTTTATTTTCCAAATTTTAAAAGCGTTCACGGCTGAAGCATCTAACAGGTGATAAAATATTACCATGGGCCATTTGCGTGTTTGTCGCTGTGTTGTGTATTGTTGTGCCATTTTGTTCACTACGTCAACAACTCCTTTTGTTTTATTATATTAAAGTATCATCTCAGGTTTATAGGCATCTTTTCTTCGCCAACTTTATCATAAAAACGTCCCGCTCACAAATCGTGGGGTGCATTTGCACCGTACAGTCACTGTTATTAAAAAATCACGTAAACGCAATGGGTTTTAAATGCTATAATGGGTAGAATGCATTAGGATTTAATTTAATGCAAATAAAAATATAATATTAAAAAAGATAGGTGAGAAAAAGGTCTGGGGTGTAGTAAAGTATAACTATCGCGTTCAAAGAGGAGAAAAATCAATACATCAAGTAAATAGCTCCAAACATTATCTCTGTTCCTCTTCGGACATCATCCTCTGTTATTAAGCAAAACACTCAAGAAGTGACTTCTTATTTTATTTATGGAGTCCATTAACCCTCCTGTGGTTCTGAAGGTAATTTGAATATTTAACTTTTTCAACCATATTTGACAAAGTCTTGAATGAGAGTAAAAGAGAATATTACGCAAGTTGCAAACTTCGGAGATGAGTAGAAAACATTCACAATTGATAATTTAGTAAATATGATGGACAATGTATACAGGGTGTTTCATTAATAATTAAACATATTTTAACTGTAGATTCCTGATTTCAAAATATTACGGTTTAACCCAAATTACTTAAATAAAGTGTCGTTCCTTATTGAGTTGCAGGATGTTTCATTTAAAAATTTAAAAACTTTGTACCTCGTACTTTAAAACTATTTGACATATCCTTGTCATATTTGGCAGGAAGTATAGGTACTGAACATTATTACCGTTTTTTTTTTAATTTAGATTGCAAAATTATTTTGCGAAAACTACTTGATCGATTGTGCTGAAATTTCGTAGTGTTTTTCTATGTTAAAAATATTTTCTGGGAAAATTTTAATTTATTTTACGGTTTTGCTAATTTCGCAACAATAATAATTATTTTTTCTATTTGCAATACTGTAGCAACATAGCAACAATAAATATAGCAACAAAAATGAGAAGAAAAAAAATAACAGATACCGCCTGGTCTAAAATTTGTCATTCGACTTTAAATGTATACTTACGTTGCTTGCACTCTAGACCTCTTAAGAACATCGCCATTTCTAAGTGATCCCTTTTTATGAAGTGGCTGCACTACTGAAACATAGTTTGAAGAATTTGGCGACCTGCAGTAGATCGAGCTTGGCGAATTGTTCACATAATTTTGCGATTGTACGAAACTTGGAGCTTGTATATATGTTTGTTCCTGAATGTGATCAGAGCTGCCCATGGAATTAACTATCTGGGAGCGCTCCATCTTTGGAGGAAAACTGAAACAAAATAATTGGTTATTAATTTTAATATTTTTAATTTTTAACATTATCTTCACCACAAAATGCAATTTTTAAGTATAGCTTCTAACGAGTGATAACGGAAATTCAATATTCAACTGCCCATAATTAAAACGAAATTAAAAATATATCAGATTCATAATAGAATAATTTTAGGTCAAAAGTGGCACAAATAATGGAGGACGACCTAACCAATAAAGTAGATATAAGGAAATTATGTAACATCCGAATAACTTATTTTACTAAACAGTATGTTATGTTGTTATTGCATCTCAAAAAATACTTCTCCACCATGTTAACACAATTGATAGGAAATGTAAATATAATCATTTTGCTAGAAACAACATGTAAATAGCAAGCAGGATCATATAAATGTGAAAACGGCGCAGTATTAGGCAATTATGTATATTTATTTGATTTGAATGATTATTATTTTCAATCTGTGGGCAGCAGGAGTTAATATAAAGGAAAATGCTGTTATAATAATTGAATCGGCATTCTGTTACAGTACAAGGCTGCCTGATGAATCATTAAAATATTGATTTATAAAAAATCTAGATTTAACAGATAGTTCTTCTTCTTCCTATGCCGTCCCCATTAACGGAGGTTGGCGACCACATTTCCGAAAGTTTCTCTGTCTTTTGCAACGTGAAATAATTCATCTACAGTCATGTTTGTCCAGTCTCCAATATTTCGTAGCCATTACTTCCTCTTTCTACCTATTCCCTTTTTACCATCGACTCTACCCTGCATGATGACCTGCAGAAGACTATATTTATCATTCCTCAGTATGTGTCCATGGTATGCAGTCTTGCGTACTTTTATTGTTCTCATCAATTTTTTGTCTCGACCCATACTTCTCAGCACTTCCTCATTGGTGACCTGGCAGTCCATTGAATTCTCAACATTCTCCGGTATATCCAAAGTTCAAAGGCTTCAAGCTTCTTAACTATTTGGGCTTTTAACGTCCATGTTTCTACCCCGTACAGTAGTTGGGGTCAGACGTAACATCCCAGAAACCTCAGTCTCAGCGCAGTATTCAGATGTTTGTCACAGAACAATTGCTTGAATTTTAAGAACGCTGCCCTTGTCATTTCTATTTGTACTCTGATCTCTTGGTCTGGATCTAATTCTGTGTTGGTGTAAGCTCCCAGATATTTATATTTTGTCACTCACTCTATTTGCTGTCCACCAAGGGTTAGTTGTTCATTATTTATTGGACTCCTTGATACTATCATAAATTTGGTCTTATCTGTGTTGATGGCAAGTCCCATTTGAATGCATTCACTATTTATTGCATCTAGTAGTTTGTAGTTCTTCTATACTCTCAGTCATAATTACAGTGTCATCTGAAAATCTCATGGTGTTTACGATTTCTCAACCAATTCTTATTCCCTCTTTTCTTTCCCATAAGGCTTTTCTGAATATAACCTGTGAGTATACGTTGAAAAGCGTCGGAGACAAGACGCATCCTCTCGCAATCGGTGTATTATTTGTTTCTATATCGTTCACCTTTACTACTGCTTTCTGGTTCCAGTATATAGCCATAATAAACTCAATGTCTTTTTTGTCTAAATGGATGTTTTTAGTTCATCTATTAACTTCATATGTTGCACTCGGTCAAATGCCTTCCGACAGTCTAGGAAGCATACATATACACTCTTGTTATATTCCCGACATTTCTGCAAGAGTACCGTCAACGCAAATAATGCCTCTCTTGTACCCATGCCTCCTCTGAAGCCAAACTGCGTTTGATCTATCTGCTCCACACATTTCCTATAAATTCGGTTTTGAACAATTTTCAAGAGAATTTTTAAAGGGTGGCACATCAGGCCTATCGATCTATATTCATTACATGATTTGGGATTGTTGTTTTTTGGTAGAGGTAAAAATATCGATTTAAGCCATTCCTCCGGGATGTTGCCCTCTACATATATGTGGTTGAGAATTCGGATGAGTTTCTTTATACAGAAACAGATAGTGGAAAATTAAAAATAAAACAAAAATCAGCACACTTTTATTGCAGAAGTTTGAATTCTCTGCAAATTTCAGTAATGTCATTTAGCTATTTTTCTTCACCTTTGGTATTGTTATTTCATTGGTAATATAAAATGAATGTTCCTTTATTAGATTGTAACAACGTGGTCAAATAATACACTAAAGTCAAATAAACTTATTATTGTTTAATTATTAAACAGTATCAGTGCTTTTTGGAATTCTATTTGTCCTTTCTTATCTGTCGGTTCGTATACTCCATTTTTTATAATTCTGTTTGTTTTTTTTTATAATTTTTATAATTACCCATTGGACCGATTTCGACTTCAACGCAATATATCACTTTTTTGTTATAATGTTAAATTTTGATGAAACAATTAAGAAAACCGCAAAAGATATTTGATTCGCGACCAATTAAAGACTTTCTTAAACGATTAATATTGAGGTTTTTTTATATATACACTGGGGTGCAAAATTAACCGGACACTCAGATTTTTTTGTTTTTTGTTGGTGTTTGATCAAAACTTATTTAATTTGTTTGAATTGTATTTTGTTAGTGGCAAAAGGTTTCAAGCTGTAGCCAATAAAAAAAATTGTATTTTATGCCTTATTAGCGATAATGTTTGTTTCTTGTTTCAACCTGTCAAGATGTTTTGTGCGAACAACACCTTTACACAAATATTGGCTTAGTATAGCTTAATTTAAGATTATTGTGGTAATGTACCCGTTTATAAGTTCGGCTGTAGGTTTTTGTATTGTTTCCTGTTTAAAACTTGCATTAAAAAAAATATGACACCAAAAGAAGTGGCACAAGCTGTTGCTTACAGGATGATGGCCAAACATTCTTTAGATTGCAAATGCTTTAGGAATTTTTCGAAGTACAGTGTTTGATACACTACAAAGATTTCGGGAAACAGAAAAATACACCAGGAGGCCAGGTCAAGGTAGATGAAGAACCACAAGTCAAATTGAAGATCGCTTTCTTAGGTTATATATAAGCGTTACGCGATCGTACATTATCAACACTAGTACTTGTTCAACGATTAAATAATGTCCACAGAAACACAGTTTTCGTTTATACCGTTCGAAGACGCTTAAATGAATATTGATTAAGTTCCAGAATACCTATCACGGGACCTCTATTAACAGCAGATCATTGGAGGCAACGTTTACATTTCGCTCGTGAACATCTTAATTGGAGTGTTGACGATTGGAGTGCTTTTCATTGATAAATCAAGATTTAACAGATACTTATTAAATGGGTATCCTAAGATATGGAGAAGAGATGGTGAATATTATCAGCAATGTTGTTTTACTCTGAGAGTTCAATTTGGTGGAGGTGGTATAATGGTGTGGGTAGGCATTTCCATAAAGACTCATACCGAACTTTTTAAAATTCAAGGGGGCAATTTGAACGCTCAACGGTATATTCAGTAATGTTTGGATGATCACGTAGTGCCATTTGCCCCATTTGTTGGAGAAAACTTTCGCTTGATGCTAGTTCACACATTGTAAGAATAACACGGGATTACTTGGATGAAGTTGGGATTCGTTTATTACCATGGCCCCCAAGGAATGCAGACCTAAATCCAATAGAGCATATGGAATATTCTGGGACGACGTATTTGATGTAACCATGGTGACTTTGAAACCATGAATGATTCGGATCAAGCAGTTCGTGACGAATGGGAGCAAAACCCTCAAGACTCAGACTTTGCTGCCTTAATCCAAAGTATGCCTGGTCGAATGACAGGCCGTAATTAGCGCTCTTGGATTGTGGAGATAATACACTCTACTAAATATCGTTTTCCATAAAAAATGTTTATATTTAAAAAATAAAAATTTTTGTTTCGTTGCAGGTTTTTAGAATTTTTGAATCGTTTATTGTTTTTTCTGTGTAACATTCTTAAGTTGTGATTTATTTGACTTTTAAATTTTGTTTTTTATTAAATACTCAATTGGGAATCTCTTAAACTTTTTTAAACGCCAGTGTTTAGGAAAAATCTGGGTGTCCGGTTAATTTTGCACCTCAGTGTAGTTTAATAATTCGTTGAGAATTGAGAACTCGGTTTAAGGTACGGGTCAACAAATTTGATAAGTAGACATTGTTGTATACATATAAAGCTACCTTTTCACCAAATTTTTTATGCAATTTGAGATTGTCAGGAAAAACTACTATCAGTTTACAAATGATAAAAAATATGATTTTAGAAAAACTGGCTATATTTAAAAGGCTGCATCTTCGAATATACTAAATGTATTGTAATTTACCAACGCTCGTTTGAAAGGTATTTAAAAATACTTTAATTTACCTGTGTCTACAATAAACAGTATAACAAAAAGAAAATGAGGTATCGTCAGTTTTAATCGGTTTAATGAGCTTAGAGATACAGCTTTTCAAATATAGGGTAAAAGGGCTATTTTTGACCTATTCGGGGGGCTCAGACCCAGGGACACCAAGAGGGCTAAAAAAATCACTATAGGTTACTTTTTGAAGGTACAATGATATACCACAATTTGGTAAGAATCCGCGGAACTCCCTCCCTTAAACGTGGTCGAAAAGTAAAAATATTGCTCATATTTATATATATTATACTATCTAAAACTGGTTTATATTATAAAGGGTATTTACTACAGAGTAACGTTTTTTTGAGCTCATCTCGTATATGAAAAACTAGTCACGGTATATCACAATCACGAAATATGATTATTATTGCATTAGCGCTTAATTTAAAATTGAATTAAACTGAACAAAAACGGATAAGCTATTTTGCTGTTTTATAAACACAGTAATATAATCCTTCCGTAATAGTTAACCGTTTGTTTGGAGAAAAGAAAGTTCGCTATATATTTTGGCAAACGCTAGTACGTTGACACTAGCCATTGCCTATGCCTATCAATCATTAGTTTTAAAACTTTCACCGATGACGTGAATTGCCTGCTTATTTAATCGTTTATAATACTGTATATTTTACTTTTATGTA